AAGAGTTGCAGAGAAATCTACAAAGACAGAACTTCAGCCCCAAATGTATCATTACGACTTCCTACTCACCCCTTGCTCCTATCAAGGAAAGGATACAGTACAATCTGCTTTACTTGTCTTTCTCCCAGCTTAATTCCTTAAGAAGAAAGCCTGATATTTCCTCCAGGACCAGATGAAGTCACATGTTAGGAGCCTAGATTCTGACAGGGTTAGCAAGCCTTCTCTTCTCCATCTCCTCAGATGACTACATATTTTCTTAATTTTACACTTTAAATGTTTTGTAAAAGCTGCACTCACTGTCTGGTAAAGATTATAAGTTACGTGCAGCTTGAGTCATCCTGTAAGAAGTCAACTTTAGAAGACAGAATTTGAACCTTACCGCTTCTTTCCCACTCTTCTAACAAACATAATAAATATCTCATGTGTATAATGAGCCAAAATATTTTAAAAGTATCAATTTAAATAAACATTAATTTAACTACCAAACTGAAGGTACAGCCTTCAAGGCATACATAAAAAATGGTCTATTAACATGCTTAGAATGACTGAATTGTCACAAATACCAATTGAATTATTTATTCATATACCAAAATTGCTTTGTCTACTGTCCACAATATTGTATTCAATGAGGGTATACTCCACGTATGTTTTAATATTTTACAGTAAATTTGTCGGAATAAAATCTTGATTCCTACACTATTCCTACACTTCAACATGTGCTTACTTTGTTCATGTAAATTGGACTGCTTCTGCATTTTTAGTTGACTATGTATGCTCAGGATTGAGCTATGTATACTCTGGAGCTCTGCAGAGGCTCACAAAAATTTAAGTCTAAGTAAAAGAGCACACAGAAGGCTACTGTTCATGAATATTTCAGAACTGAAACATGCTTAATACTTCAACAAACATTAACACTTCATAGAGGAGAAAAAAATTCAAGTTGCTAGTCTGGATCAAAATGAATCCTTAATACTTATCAGTAATTTGTGGGAATCCCAAGAGCATTGATACAGAGTTTCATTTATAAGATTACTAATAGTAGAGTTAGTCCAGAAGTGAAGATCCTGGAATAACATAAACAGAACTGCTTCTGCAATTCCTTTAACATTCCACTGAAGATATTTTTGCATCAACAAAACAGCAGTTTAAAAGGTTTATTTTATGTTCTTTTTTTCCTAAAGGGGGTAGGTATACTACAAGGAAAAATATGTAAATAGAATTTTATTTATCATCATTGGGAAGTTGTTATTACTTTCTAACACAACTTTGTTTAGTTGCCTGGTTGTACTTAGTTTTCTTCATTTTTTCCACACTAGTAACTTCTTTCTCTAGGGTCATACTGGTATTCCTCATTAGCTCGTACCACTCCTATGATACCCTGCCTAGTGCCTACTGACACTAGCCATGGGCTTTGATGTTTTGTAATTCTACACTGGCATGATCACAAAATATCTCACTTATTACAGGAAATGGCTGCAAGCTGTTGCACAAATTCCTAAATATAATCAAAAGCAAAAATTTATAAAACATTCTAATCTCAGCAATTTAAAATATAGTCTAGTGAAATGCAGTTAATGCAGTTTACATTGTTAAATACTGAGTGCCAAGAGCGTTCCCAGCTTACATCTAACCATAGAATAACAAGCAACTATAATAAATATATCCTTTTTTTTTTTTTTTTTTTTTTTTTAAGTTTTGATTTTTGGCTCTAGCTTGGAAGCATTAACCATCAGTCGGGAGTATTTGCACATTTTCAATGAAGTTCCTTCCTCAGTTCCAGAAAGCTCCTCTTCTGATGTCCTACTAATGTTTCAGGATGTTTTTCTTTTTGCATCCTGCTTTAGTTCCAATGTGTAAGGCCTCTCAGAAGGCCCTACAAGTGTCACAGTCTTCCAAGAAAATAATTCACAAGTGAATGTCCATATAAAGAAGAACTGCATCCTAATAAAAGCGGTGGGAAAAGATTAAAAGCAATATTAAATAATAGAATGTAGCATGAAACAGAATTCAGGGAACCTTTTACAGTGAACTGTCCAGTTCTTCACAATTATAAATCAAGTTGTGTGCATTAGGGGATACATTATTCCTATCTATTAAAGAAGACTTGTATTTTAAATGCTTATATCAATTTCTGCATTCAGCTGAGGTTTAATAACATAGGAGATGCCAAAGTCAAAGATTAGTTTCAAGTTTCCTTGCTTTCTGCTTTTCCCTGACTTTTTCCATCAATAGCTGCAGTGAACTTCAGAGTAGATAGAGGTGACTAAATCAATTCCAAAAGCTTGAATTTGTTTACAGCAAGCAGACTTGTTTCTTTATAAGTCTTAGACTTGTATTTTTAGGCAATACAAGATTAGATATTTCCAAAAAGCAGATAGCAGTATCACTTCTGAATTTAAAAATATTTTTTTTTCTCTATTTTGCAATTGCAAAAGTAATGAAAGAGTCTCTTGTCCAGTTTCAAAATGAGTAATTACCCTTTGAAGTATAATGGCATAGGTCTTAAATGCATCTGCAGGATCAGCAGCTATATCTTGCCCCAATTAAAACTTCCCACATTGTCACGTCTCTAACTGAAAAGTCAGAACACCAATCCAACTCAATGTCTCCTATGGTCTTTTCCTATTACAGTGCCCTATAAACCACCAAATGCAAACAACCAGGAAAACAGGGCTGAGGAGAGGAATTATGAGGAAGAAATGTGTATCATGCCATTGACTTCCACCGCTTTTGTAGCTGAACCTAAATTAAAAAAAAATTATCAGTGGCAAGTTCAGATGGAGAAATGACTGAGAGGGGATGCTGTGCACGTAAACAGCTGCAGCCCCTGCTCTACTCCATCATCAGTTCAAACTACATAGCTGGCAAAGAAGTTCAATTCACTTGTTTTCACTGCAGAACCTAACTTCCAAACAGGTGACTTTAAGCAACTAACCCATCAAGACCTGGGGTGTACCTTATTTTAGCAAGGTTAGTAGGACACTACTACCTGTGCCCTCAAGTCAAGAAATAGCCCTTCTAGGATTTTGTCTATTTACCTTACTTACTGAAGACCTTGCATGCCTTATTTTATTTGTCACATCTTCCCTGCAACAAGAGGCCTGCTTCACTTGCCCTCGTTCTAGCACTTGCAAGGAACATTAGGTACATCAAAGTCAAGATGTGTACAGGATATCAATATACAACTGTGGGTAACTACTAAATGAGCAAAAACTTTCAGCACTGATCTGTCTTCTACGTGCAATAATGTTCCCATTACTTATACCATCCTATAGATGATTTTCAATTCTGCCTCTATCATTCAAAAAAAAAAAAAAGTATTGTTTTTTTTTTCTTTGTACCTTGCTGAACTGCTCTAGAACACTTAACAGAAAAATTAGATGTTCAGAAAACAAAAAAGTTACTCATGATATCTGTGGTAACAGTTGACAGAACAGTACCCAGAAGACAACATTAATTATTTTGAAGTGAAAAGATAGGGTAGGTTATCTGAAGTTATTACAGAAGTTCAGCTTTGCAAATGGAAGACATGGAGCCATTTTCAGCTGTTCTACCTCAGATTAAATACAACTTCAACAAACTACATTAAATTTTGGTGCATTTCACGTTCTCTGCTAATACACTGTACAGATTTGAAATACAGCAGAATTTGGTAAACAGTCTGATGCTGAAAAAACCTCTTCCATTACCACCACCACACATGAACACAATATTTATAAAAAAAATTGAGCACATATGTCCATAGAGGCCTCCATAATGACCAAAATAGACTGTGCCTAAAGCATTTCACCTAGCAGTGAAGACAAGAGCTATGCCCTTCTTCTACCTAGTCAATGGGAACTTCCAATCCAGCCATTTAGCAATCACATTTATTTTCAAAGCCATTCCATAGTGCTTAAGGTCATTAGCTGAATGTAAATTATAAATACAACAAAGCATTGAATGATAAACTGAAAAACATGTTTCCTTTACTGACCTAAATTCAAATCCTTGTTAGAAGAATTTAGAATTTTAGAATTGTTAGCCAATTCTAAAAAAAAATAAATCCAAACAAATGTTGCTACAGACCAGAACTCATGTGTTTTTTTTGTTTGTTTGTTTTAATTAGAAGTCCTTGTAATAGATCTACTATAAAAATAAGCCTTCTGTGCATTGTGCTTGTTTTACTCCACAATAAAGGACTTCTTCCTCCTTCCTGCTATGGGAATGTGTTTAGTCTCATGTTTTGTACTTACATTTGTTCAGTCTATCACTTTTGCATCTTTCTCTCTACCTTCTATTCAGCGTTCACACCAGAAACAGAGTCCAATTACAAACTCATACGACATTTTTGTTCACTTGTCACAAATACTAACTAGTTAAATCCTTTGCCTATCAGATCCAGTTAATGTGTGTGATGAGATAAAAACTGAAAGAAATACATAGTGTCCATTTAGCAAACCTACTCCATTTTGCCCCCTCCACAGAAAAACTTGTGGTGGAAGGAAAATTCCATCTCTAGAGGGTCCCTGGTAATATACAAGGTTTGCCCATCTGCCAAAATTTCAGTAGAAAATATTTTTGAAATGTCTGTAATTAATAAGAAGCAGACTGTTATAGAAAGTAAGAAACTGTCTGTGCAGCCCCTGTAGGAATGGCAATAGTACATCTGGTGTCCTGAAATGCCTTCTCAGCTGGAAGGAAGGAATTCAGAAGAAATAGTGAGTCATACTATCAGCTTTTGATGTGAAAACCCTGCCAGTGCATGCTTGTGGAACTTTGCTGTTCTTCCTCTGCCTGGACTCCACGAAGACCTGTCACTGCAGTATGTTTGGATTTGAGGATATTGCCAGCACTCCTTTAGCTTCTGTGCACAGTGAATTTCTGGATGTTTGAAGTGCTATGATAGTGGTGAGATCCCAATGAATATGACAAAACTAAAACAAATAGATTGTACTATTAATAAGCCAAAAATAAAACATTAAAAAAATACACTGAGCCAATCAAGAGGTTGTGATTTATTTGGTAAATAAACTATGCTAAAAGCCTCTAGCTTACCAATGAACCACTGTTGTAACTACAAAGCTGAAGCATACTCTTCAGTGCAAAAACCTGTCCAATAGTACAACACAAGCTGTAACTAGTTTTTGTAACTAGCTTTCATTCACTCTTGGTGAGCTCCATTAAAGCTGACAGCTTGTAAATTGCTGCTTTTGCCTGATTTGTTTAGTCAAAGAAAGGCGATATTTTGGAAGCTAAAATTAAATACATTCAACTAGCAATTCTTTAAGGTAGTTGAACTTTCTTTGGCATCGTGCTTCCTTTAAGGTTAAAATGTTCTTTACTACTGCATTGGGATATCAGTGCTGTCATATTTAAGACTTAATTTTTTTAAATATGTATATCCTTAAATGCTTTATGTACTTCCTTTGATGATAGCTACAACTCTGTCTTTGGGAGTTTTGTTTCCAAAAAACATTATGACTATTACAAGCTTTATTGTGACAATAAAAAGGTGCTTATTTCTTTATTCAGACCTCCTAGGTCATAAGAAAGTATATAGGAGGTTATTATTTGCAGTTTCAATAAAGACAAGTTACACTAATAATAGTAAGGAACCATAGTTTCTATAAAGCCATTAGCCAAACTGCAGTTAAGTAACTTTTTCCATAATGTCTGACTTCTCTTCTTACAGTATACTTATATCTGGGAGAGCCTCACCTTCATCTGGCAAGTTTATGATCGAAAATCAGTGAGCCATCTATGATTATATGGTGAAATGAATACAATTAGTTTTGGCAAAAGAAATTTAAGAGCAAAAGAAGCTTTACCAGCAACACAAACTTTTAACTGACCATTACTACCTTAGTCTTTGTATGTTCAGGTTACAAAGCATCACAATTTCTTTAAATCTTCACATTTAAATCATCACATTTCTTTAAATCTTCATTTCTAAGTTAGTAAGGCATAGAAAGTCTCAACCATCATAAAAAAGAGGTAAACATGAATTAATATCAAGATAAGACTCAGTAGAATCTGAAGTTGAAGAGGCAATACTACAACGCATCCTACAGATTATTCCATTGACTCATACTTAAAAACAAAGATTACAATTAATACTTTAAACAAGGTAACATACTTCAAGCAAAAGAAATTAAAATTAAAATAATTGGAATAACAGAAAAGCTCAAAAGTCTTTTCTGATTTGTCAGAAACATCTTCAGCAGCTATCATGAGGAAGTATTAACTAAGTTTAACTCCATTTCATGTGGAAAGAAGGGAATATACTCACACATCTAAGACCAAATAAGCTATTTTGTTCCATCTAAACTGGTGGAAAATATTCCAGTAACAGTAGCAGGTGCCTGGGCAGCAGATGAAGCACCACCCTCAAAGCTGACTCTAGCTAGGGAAATCAAAGAATTGCACTACCAATCTATCTCTAACAGATTTACAACACAGGGGGAAGGAGGGAAAAAAAAAATCCACCCTCACAAAAAAACCCTCAGCCTCCCAAATAAGTTCAAGCTACACATGCCTGGTATGTATCAGTGCTACAGTATAGTTTCAGAACTAAGTAAGGTTATGAATGTAAAAGTCAAGCTGTGATTGTTACAAATATCATTTTCTTCTCTATCAATCTTAGAATTTGTACAGAGAATATTTATCTCAATCTTTTAAAATTCACCTATATGGACAGATTCATGCAAGATGTTTTAATAAGAAAACCAATAATTTTAACAATTACAGTTGAATTATATCAGTTACAGTTCAATTATAACATAAAATTGCCCTTAACTGGAAAGCCAGTAAAAGGGATGCTTTCAGCACTAGAGAACAGTTACTGCAAAATCAAATACAGAATTAATATTTTTTTCTTTTTTTTTTTTTTTTTTTCCAATTTAACCACATGAGTTTAAGACACAGAGAGACCCAGACATACGCTTTTTCATGACTTAAAAAAAAAATAAAATACTATGGTATGCTAATAAATAGACGTTTAATCATTACAAAATTAATTAATAAAAATTAATAAAAATTAATAAAAGCAATTAAACATGGGAAATGTTTACATTCCTACACATTTCACCTATAATTTTTAAGCTGCATTGGTGACTCACTACCATAAATTAAGCTTTTTGGGAAGGTTTGCAAGTTAAGCAAGTAATGTCTACTGCAAGACACCTCTGAAAATTTGTTTCAACGGTTAAAAACTAAGTTTTTCTCAGAAAAAATGATGGCAACATAAAATATATACAGTTGAACAGATTAAAATTATTAGTGCATAGGAAAACATGAAATCTTTGTTCCAGGCACCTTTAAACTGGAATACATGTATATGGCTTGCTGGAAGACACACCTGATCTCATTCAGATTGGTGTGTTACCTAAGGGGGAAGTGTACTGTTGTGAAAAGAAACATTACTAGAGAAGCAGTAGAACATTTCTTTTCCATGGCTACATTCCTGGGGATGCAAGAGAGTCAAAACAAACCCAACTGTCATCACTAGCACACCAATAACAAGAATCAGGCAGGATATGAGGTTATCCGAATGGTTCCACCGCTCTTTGGACAGCTTTAGATAACATGCTGTTGGGATGATAAAAACAAGTGGGGTAGCACTCAGAACTCCCTGTGTGTGGGAAACAACAAGAAAACCCTCATAAGCATGTAGATTTAGACCTGAAAAAAAATCTGAATTTGTAAACAGCTATGAAAAGACTGACGCAACAGTAAAACTGGATAATAAAGGCCTTTTCTAGTATTACTAAATAGAAAATGTTCTTTTCCAAGTCACATATAGACACATATGTGCACACATAGTTAAATAGATTCATTATACCAACATTTAGATATTTGGCCCAAATAGGCACATATGGATGCACAAATGTACATAATTTTATTGGTGTATATACACAGGCAAGTTTTCTGCACTTGTGGAAAAAAAAAAAAGAAAGAAAAATGATGGAAAAGAAATTACCAACACTTGCCATGAATAAGAAACCAAACCAAGTGGACCACTGTTTATTTTGAGACAGTGATAATTTGCAAATAATTAACTCAGAGGAAACTATGTAGGTAATTATTTCAGATAGAGGGTAATTGGATAGCTTATCTGAATATTCAGACTGGTTCTATAATATTAGTCCAAGCATGTTCTGCTAAATCATTGCTACAGAATCACTTATTACTGCTCAGTTGGCAGATAAACTGCATTGTGGATCAGAGCAATGTACACGTACTGACATGTATCATGTAGTGTAAAGAACAAGTTGCTCACTTCTGTTCCATCAGTTTCAGGTAAGTGTGCAATAGATGACTTGAAATTGTCATTGAATGTATGGACAGGAATGTAAGAAGACAATTCTAAAATAATTCCATAACGAAACAAAGGCTGCCCTTAAAGTTTTCTTCATCTTCTATCTATATTTCCACATCTGATTTATTAAAAATAGCTGACATGAAATTGAGGGTAAAATATTACAAATGATGCTTAGCATAAATGTAGATTGGATTTTGAATTATTTCCTTGGTTAAAAGAACTTTTCTTCCTGAACTTTCTTCTTCAGTTACACTATTTACAACCACTGAACAATTCTTTTTTTTCCTACTAACACTTCTATCTGAGTACTATGCTGAATTGCGTAAGATTTTTAGGAGAGCTACAGATTTTTCTGAGTTCTTTTATAAAAAAAAAAAAAAAAAGTGATTTATTAAATAGAAGAGTATGCAGGTTCACTTACATTCAGCTCTAAAACTATTCCAAGGCAATCATACACCAACGATACACCAGTTGCCACAGCAATGATAATTACTGTCACAACAATATGGAAAACCGTTGAGAGGTTCCCATGGAAAAACACATTGGCAATCACCTGGAACAGAACCACAGTTTTAAACTTTGATTTTGCTCTTTATTTTAACAACCAGTTTATAACAAATCTCCTAACCTTAGGAAGCTAAAAGAATGAGTGAGAATATACCCACTGACCTTTGAAGCTTGCTTCAAGAAAACATCTTCATCTGCTTCCAAAACTAACTCATAGAAAGCGTTACTGAAATTGCAGAACACTTTCAATACTGGCTTAATTATATCTGCAGGATTTATTTTCCTCTCATTTTCCTGCTACAGAACAAAACCAATTGCAACCACTGATTGAACAGGTGGATTTCCTAGATAGAGACACTTTCACCCAGCAAAGCTAGTAAGCATGGTTAATGTGTTATTTTTAGCTATTCAACATAATGATGAGAGTAACATTTATAACAAAAATGGAATTCTATGCAGACTTTATAGCTGTTATTATAATGTTACTTTATATATTAACAAGTATAACGTAATATTACCAGAATCTCAACACTACAGATACTACCCTCATATTCACTGCATCAGCAGAATAGTTATCTGTTGATATTTATTACAGACCAGCCATTGACTTCAGCCACAATATGTATTAATAATGTTATCATGTTATTAATAATATCAACATTGTTAAAGGGAGAACGTAATAAATGCTTACCTCTCTGGTAACAAAACATTCAAGGGGGAAGGTCAGAATTACAGTAACTCCATAACAAAACCTCCCAAATGTAGCAAGGTTGTCATCTCTACAGTAGTTTTCAAATATATCTCCTGAAGCACAGCAAAACATCGATTAGTTTGAACTCACGTCATTTTCTTATTTGCAAACTGGAGTGTAAGTTAATGGAGTCACTAGAGTAATCGAGACTTCCTGTTCCCCTTTCCTGATACATCAAGAAACTCCAGTTACAGTCAAGTTACATTCAGGAGGAATCTTAACTTGCTATTAGCAGTGTTTTTATTTGAAGTAGTATTTACATGTATCTTTCAAAAATATTTTAATATATTTTAATATATATGCTGTCCTCCCCTTAGCATCTATTTTATATGAAATGCTGTTATTTAACTCAGTACAGGACAGAGACAGCTTGTATATAAAATATTTAATTTTAAAATGTAAGTCATCTAACAAGAACAGTTAATACCAGGAAGGCCAGGGAGTTACCTCTGCATAACTGCATCTCCCTGATACTATCTAACCATAGCTGGTAAGCTACAATGAAGAATTTCAAATATTCTGAGCCTGAAAGCCCATTATAAATATATGGATTATTAAGCAGTAAATCTTTTTATATCTAGCAACTAAAGCATTGCAAGAGAATTTAGATCATCTTGCTTAGTGGTTACAGCAAAGAATCTGGAATCATGATCCATCAGGCACAAGAAAAACTGCAAGACAGTAATCAGATGATGTACCACATCTTTTCTACCTGTTTATTATACTGTCTTATGATTTACCACTTTCAGGATCACAACGGCACTGAAGAAGGAATAGGATGTGCTTCAGAGAAGATATCTGGAAGATTTTGATAGGAGAGACAGAAGGTAAGATGGAACCTGTCTACAGTAGAATCATATGCTGAGGGATTGCTGCAGTCAGAGCTCTCTATATATGAAATACCTCAAGCCAGTTTGCACTTAGTCTGCCTACAGTTGTGTCTAGGCCAGCAACTTATGTTGTACAAGCAGTACTGGAAGGAGGAAAAAAGGAGAACAGATCAACTAGTAACCCTCACCCCACAATTCCTCGGTTCTCAGCTAAATGCTGCATTTCTTTACAAAAGGAAAAAAGCTCAGAAGCATTCTCCCACAATTTGGAACAGCACTATAACAGAAAAGCTGATTGTTTATGCAATGTGTATTTTTTCCTTGAGGAACTAATGCACTGAACAATATAATACTTTTTTCTTTCAAAAGCACTTTTTTCCATTTCTTTTTAAACAAAATCACATAAAATAGTATAATTATCAATACATGTTATATATTATATTCATATATATACACGCATACACAAAGACCTGACAATAGCATTACACTACAATGGCTGTTGTAATGATAGGAAATATCTAAGTCAGAGCTAGGATGCTATATTTGCACAGACAAGAGAAGATACAGAAGAACATACAGAAATATGTATCCAGGCACCCTAAAAAAAAATAAAAAATCAAAGTTTTTCTTCTTCCTGCTCTCTTTGTTATAGGACCATGTGGCTAAGTTACAGATGTTTAGTCCTCGTAAGTATTTGGATGTGGAAGTATTCAAAGGGGATTTTCACTGGTTAGGCTTCCACTTGGGAATCTGACACCTATTAGCATATAGCTGACATATTTGTATCCCATTTTGGTTGATAGGTAACTATAAGGAATGTCTGTCCTAGCTGTTTCTGTCCATGGTAGATATAAAAATGTCAAGATCTTACTAAGGTATTAAAAACAGAACTCAGAAATTAAGTGTAATGACTATAGAAAGCACCAAAATTGAGGGACTGAGCAGTTTACCTTCTGTGTATCCTGTAAAAGTCATGTACCCACATGCAGCAAATAGTACACTGATAACAACAGCAAGGGAAACAGACACATGTGTGATTCGGGACCAGTTGTTTAATGTGGGTTCTTCCAGAGAGCCATATATTAAAAAGCTGTTATGGTGGCAGATGAATGCTGAAACACACATGACATTTAAAGCATATATATGAATTCATGCACACATGCATATAAAATAAATTAATGGAGTATATATTCCAAGGTAGGGGAGACAGTGCAGTTTGATACCATTTATTATTAAATACAAATATTAAATCTGCACTGAATAGCAAAGATAAATGGCTTGAACTTTTACTTAATTGATTTGATGCAGGTTCATATTCATCCTGGGATATAATAATGCTGATTACATTACCTTAAAATGCCACGTTGTTTCTTCCCACTCCCCTATAAGAAGTGGAATCTGCATTCCACTTACAGTTTTCTGCTCTTTTGCATGAGAACACAACAGCACTTCAGAGATTCTTTCAAACCCACAGAACCATTTGCTACTTTCAGACATCCTATGACATCCATTTTAGACAGCAGCAAATATAGGGAGGCCTCATATTGTCACAGCATTAACAAGAGGTGAGATACAATGTCCCCCAAGCAGAATGGGTTTTACAATGACAATAACGGAGGTGAGTCGAGACTCATCTGAATGGTTCATTGTTGAAATGGGAGGTGACAGGCACTCTATAATGTCTCACTCTATAGTGAATGTATACATCTCAGTCCAATACCTTTCTGTTACAGTTTACCCAAGAAAATACAGACTGTTCAGAGCCTCCCCAATTTAGGAACTAGACTAGCACTACCAATACAGGTGCTTTAAAATATGAAATATAAACTGGATTCACATGTGCCATGCGCAATCTCTGCTACAACAGCAATAGCTTCTATGGCAGGATGGACAACAGACTGTGATAATGCCTTAAATTGTAACAATTAAGTTCACCTATGGATAATACAAAAATCAACTCCAGCTTTCCATAAACCATCTTAATATGAATATATGTATGTACATATAATAAAAAAGTAGTTAAAACCACACAATTTCTAGGTTTAAAAAAAAATAAACACACAACACTTTTTTTTCCCCGTTGAAGACTGAAAATACAAAAAAAAATAAAAGACTTACCAAATGACATCACCCCAACGGCTTGTACTGCATTTGATTTTGCAAATATCCATGCATTTTCTGATTTGGGTCTAAAACAGAATTTAATAGATTACACTCTTTTCAACCATCAATTATTAAAAATAATTTTAAATACTATGCTGTGATACAGAATTAGTAATCAGAACTCCAGAGCTATCTGAATTAGGCCAGTATTCATCAACAATAAGCTGAAACCAGGGAGATGCCCTTCTCACCTTTCTTGTTTTGATTAAAGTATTCCTGGAACCTGTTTTTTTTTTTTGCAGCCCAAACTGTCAGCCTGTTTCAGCAGCCAGTTCTGTAAATAAACTCTTCAAGTCACCATTCATCAAGAAACAGTAACTAGGAAGGTAAAAGCTGTTACTGATTCCGACTGAGGTTATCTCAACCCAAAATCTAACACTATTCAGAGGCAATTTTTTCCTTTGAATTTGCACACGTAATTCATGGAGTCCAGAGATACTTTTTTCCCCAAGGTCACAAATCAAGTGAGGCAGTTTGTCTTTATTTACACCAGTTTCAGCTACTCCTCATCTTAAAGGAACTGTGCTAGTTCCCAAAGGAGTGACAAAATACATTTTAAGAAAGTGGATGGAGACTCTTATACTCAGGCAAGAATGTAATATCCTCTATATCTGCTCCTCTAAGATATGCCCACAATTTTGGACTTTGTTAATAGTAAGCCTTAGAGGAGGGCCACAGAAAACTGTCAGCAATCTTCATTAAAACCCACTTGAAATACAAATTATCTGCATAAAGAGCCAAAAGGAATGAAAGAGAACGGCAGGAAATATTCCTTCCCAGACCTGCAGTTTGCCAATAATATCAAATGAAATTCGGTATCAAATGAAGCCTTATATTTGTAATATTGAAGCAAAAAGCATGGGTGCAGAGAAATTTGCTTTTAAAAAGCATGCTGCTACTACGATTGCTCCATTTTTACTTAGAGGCAAAGCAGCTGCCACCTGAGGCCTTATCTGCTGTCTTCCTTCAAAGCAGTATGACAATCAGTTCTGTGAAGGTAACATTGGAAGCTTTGTCTCTCCCTCTGGTACCTAGGTGGTTTTGACAGCCATAGTGGCACATACTATACTAGATTTCATTGCTGCCAAATTTTTAAACATAATTAGAAAACAAGTAGTTGTTTTTTGTTAGTTTCCTGTTTGAGAACTCATATCTCACTATATCTTGAGAACTCGAGTAGTCATGGCTTCCTTCTCCATATTAAAAACCTGATTTCTGGCATCCAATGTGCATTCAGCTTAGACTTAAAACAACTTTTAGGCTTTTAAGCTATAACCTTAATTTCAAAGTCGAACAGGACCTGAGCATCAAAATAAAGCTTAGTTTTTTTTTCAGCTTGGATGCAGTATACATTTTTGACTACTCTAACATACAGCTTCTAGTCTTAAGCACCTGAATATGGCCCTCCTAAAATATTCTCAGATTCAGAAGCAACGTAGATGCTGTAAAACACTGTGAATGAAATAGGTATCGTGCATTTGTTTTATGAAATAGGAGATCTGACCAGCTACAGCTGTTGTAGTTCATTATACAGAGTAGCTTCCTTTACTCATATGAAATCAGAGGCATCAAGTTAGAGATGGTTGTGGATAATTCATATTCATAATTTTGAATGGCTTTTTCAGGAAACTATTCACATCTCAAAGACAGTAATATCACAAAAAACAGACTATAGGAAACAAATCTTACAATTGTTCTGTTCTATAACCACTAGAAGTCAGCTTTGAAATCAAACACAGAAAATGAAAATTTGTCCTAATGCCCTGTACAAAGAATAGTTCTAAAATGCATAGAAATAAAGAATGCTTTTATCTGAAACACCTCTTGATCAGGTAACCACAACAGTTTCAAACATTTTTTCTGTGAAAATAGCACAACCCACGCAACAATATAGCCATGTTATAAGTTCCCTATAAATGGGATTTAAACATCAGAATGGAAAAAGCATGTAGATTTCAGTTGAAACATCTTGGAAAGTGACCAGATATTTTAGGAAAACATCAGGAGCTAGTTTTCCACCTGCACAGCAATAACATATGCACTGGCAATACACAGACTGAAATAACGCTTTGTGGCTGAACAGCAAACCAGATTAGGAGTACTATCTTGGAGGGAGCTGAGCAGCAAAAGAAAAAATCCTGCTTATTTATCAGTGTAAGAAGGTAAACTCCTTCCCTTTCCAGATCCGTGATTTGAACATTGCCAGGGAATTGCCATGTCTTAGAACACACACTGGTATGGACAATAAATGCAACAGAGCATGACTCAGTATTTCTTACAATGTTATATACTCCTGCAGGTTTTTTGAAAAGCATTTCCAGACTTTGGGAATACAGACCTCCCACAGATATGCTACATAACTAACAAGTGAAAGTAACATGCTAATGGGAATCTGTTTGAAATAACAAATATCAAACTTCAAGCAACATATTTGCATAACAGACTTTCATACAATATATGCTTTTAGGTCAAATACAAATGTGTTCACAAAGACTTGAGAAATTCACAAAGAAAAGATCCATTAGTGAATATCATGGTCTAGATATAAGAACACTAGTCACATACATAAAATTTATATAAATGTTTGTCTGTGTAGACAGACATACACAGGCTGACTGAGTGTATCAAAAGAAAACCAGGTAACTCTATACCTGTTCAAATCTTTCAATCCTGGTGCTGCTGTTAAAGACAGGTCCTTGTCAAAAAGAAGACGAACAAACAAAACATTGTTCTGACCCAGTTTGACCTACTTTCTTGCTAGGAATTGTTAGGGGATGATTTCAGCTGCTGCTCACAAGAATAGCAGTAGCTATGAATATCCATGAATGATAAAAAATAGCTTACTGCTCCACGCTCAGTGTATAAAAACCACAGGCTATGCCTGCACAATTTTTTTTTTTCATGCCGGAGAAGCAGCAGGAGGATGAAACAAACATTTGTGATGCTAAATGCTCTTGGTTAAAGCTGTGCTATCTGTAGTATAAAGTAGTTGAAATACAACACAAAAGTTGAGAGTACGTAACTCTGATTCTTGGAACATAAATAATAAAATATTGAACAAAAAAAGACTTTCCAAGGGAGATACTGGCCAAGAAAATCTCTCAGCTGGAAGTAAGACAACAGCAAGACAGGCTGACAATTAGAATCATCAGTGGGAAGGTAGTGAAACCTAGTGGTGAAGAAAGCCTAGTGGTTAATAAAATAAGGCTCTACTCAGTTCTCAGTATACTTAAGGAAAAGTATAGCATAATAAGCATGCTAGTGAGTTTAAAAATGTTAGAAGTGTTTTAAAGAGATTGGTGTTCACCAATGCAAGAAGAGGTAGGAGAATACGAAAAGAACAAACAAGCCAGGCAAAATCTAAGAGTTCCTAAAGGAGTAAAGGCATTTAATATCCAGATCCTGAGTAAGAGTCAGGCAAAATTGTTTGGCAGCCTACAACAGCAAGTCTTCTATCTTGTGTAAAACATTTACAGTAGACTAGTTCACATCACAAGGTCTACGCTATGCAGAAATTTTCTGTCATTTATGTAGAAATGCTGCGAAATGTAGTACAGCAGAATGCATCAGAAGCAAAATATCTTAAAAGAGAGTAAGAGAAACCTACATCCCTGATCTCAACCCCACCAACAGGCACAAAGCACTGACAGAAATAAAATACAGTTTCTAGACAGGAAATAAAACTATGCATTTGAGAGGGTAGCTACATGTTGGAATGAGCAAAACACTTCAGTTGTTTTGGACTGAAGAACAGTGACAGACTACAAGTTTATTTTAACTGCTGGTTTGCACCTCATCAAGGAATACGTGGGAAATAAATTCATGTTTAATTCAATGACATAGACACAAAAATGTAAAATTTCATTTTATTCTATTATAAGGTAAAATATTTTTTGTTTCAATTTATACTTTTAGATTTAGAGATACTGAATATAACTTCAATCAATATAATGGGACATAACACATCAACTTTGAATCTCATATTAGATAAAGTCACCTTGTTTTTTAAAGGACATAGACAAGGTTAAGCAATACATCAGCCCCTCCTAGTTACAGCTGCTTTAGTCCCCTTTTTTCCTTAATGAACTGACAGGTCTGTAAGTGTATGGTAGCTTAGGTTTTAATTATTTTTATTATTTTTTTTTTTTTTTAATTTCACCAAATTAAAGTTTAGTTTTGCTCACTGTTGGCTTATATATATGAAGGAAAGAATCAACTTTCTACTTTCAAGTTATTTTACTGAACACTTGGTGTTTCATCCCTGTGATCAGCTGCCATTTAAATAATTCTCATGTCCTATTTATGCGTAGCAGATGCTCTTGAAGTTTTTCCTGTAGCTTTATGTATAATGCAGACACTGACATCGTGACATTCTTCCCAAAAGATGATCAAATTTATCTATCTTTATAGGATATATAAAGTATTTCTTTTTACGGCAAGGAATGTTAGTTTCATTTCTGAATCATGAAGTTACTTTACGCAGTATTAAGAAGTATCCACATACATCTACAGTTAGAGTTATTTCTAATACATTGGTTTTGATCATAGTAGAAAAACACGCAGCTACCAGCAGGGGGAAATAAAGCTAGGAATAGATCATCTGAATGTATTTTTATCTAACATCTTAAACTATTTGGAGTACACTTTGGGTCCAGAACACTGAATTTTATTTGCAGACATATTATGTCCTTCAGACAACAATCACAAGAATTATATTAATCACAAGCAAAACAAGAAAAGAGTAGCTTAGCTTCATTTGTTATAAGAGAAAGTAAAATAAACCAAGTAATACTTCAACAGAAATTAGTTATTGTTTTCCCCTGAGAGCTAACAAGGAAGTAACACTCCCAAAATGTCCCTGAACAACTCCCTCAACTCCCACAGCAACTATAAAATAAAACAAAAATGCAACACTCCAAAGACTCATAATTGCTGCCTACAGTTTCAAACACATCAAATCATTACAAACAATAGTATTGTTGCTTTGCTGATGGTCTAACAGAGTAGAAGATTTCTGGAAGGGAAATATTCTGTCATCTTAATATTACTTTCCATTAGAATCTGAATGGCACTTAAACAAAATTACAGTTTATCATTCCTGCACCCCTTAACACAAAGTAACCTTCACTTTCAAAAATCTGAAGTAAAAGGTAAGTGAAAAGTGCTCAGAGTAATTATCACAGTGGCAAGACTTTTGAATGGGATTCCACTAGACACTGATCTGAATCCAATACTTCTGAATGTATTCAATACTAACTCAGAAGATGGATCGAAAGCATCCTTTGTAGAAAGCATGAAACATGCAGTTAGCACAAGCATGCCAGATAACAGGCTGAAAAAAAAAAAGAAAGAAAGAAAAAAGAAATCAGAAATATGTTGACAAACGGAAAAATCAGCTGATAAAGTAGGATTCCGTACTTTAACAACAAATTCTACAGTTATGCAGTTACAGATTTCAAGAGAATGAGATGGGAAGGGACGGGGAGAGGGACATGACTATACCACAACCCAAACTTCACAAGAACAGAGTAAAAGAAAGGAAAGACTGCTATCTCACTGTTCTGCAGAGAAGAGGGCTCAGTTTCTATTCAGTTACAGACTTGAGGCATGTCCACAACACCATGTCATTTTGCAAAAAAAAGCAAACATCAAACCAGACTATATAAACAGGAACACGACAATCCCCAAGAGATAGTGAAAGGAACCTCGAGACACTTTGCATGTAAGATACATTAGACAATGCAGTAAAGACACCACAATCTCGTTGCTGTTTACAGAGAAGTTAAGGCAGCCATTTAGAATGATTAGAGGTATAAGAAATGACAAGATAAGACACTAATGGAAATGTTTGTTTAGTCTATAGAAAGGAATACCAAAGAGGGACAAATTACAGCTTTTTACAGGTTTTTAAGAATTGGAAGAGGAAGGAATAATTTGCTTTCCATATTCACTGTGATTAGGCCACAAAGCAATGAACATGAAATGCAGCAGGAGAGACACCATATGCAATTCAGAAAACTTCCTAAGGAAAGGCTAGTTAAGAACTGGAATGGAAAATTATGGAGTTGCCAAGAACAAACTGGACAATTACCTGTATGCAGCAACAGATCTACAGTCAATTCTGTCATGTTACACCAGTAAAAATTAGATATTCTCTCTTGACCCCATCAAGAATCCCTATGGCCATACAATTATTTTATTTTATTTTTTTCTGCATGACAGATCTGAGATTTTCTAATCAAGATTGAAATATATATTTATATATTATTTCATTATTCTCATTACAAAAAAAATGGCATAACTGAACAAAATATTATAAGAGGACTTATTAAAACTTAAAGTTTACATCTGTTTCAAACTGTAATATACAGTAAAAATAGACATTGATAGAATTATTGTGAGTTGAGAAATTGATAAGTTTATCAACCTAGCTTAATTTATGACAAGTATAAACGCAAAAACGGAAAAATCTCTAGAATTAAACAGTAAGACTTGAATTTCTAAGAAAGCATCATTACTTATTGTAAGAAAAAAAACAAAGACATGCACTACTTATATTTCCATGCAACACCACTGTTAAAAGGATTGTTACCATAGTAACAGGGTCAGGAGTAGCCACTATATACAGCTTCCTCTTTTGACATGGAATTTTGAGATTTTGCTTCCAAATACACCGTTAACATGGTAAGACAAACATGTTACTTAAGAATAACAGGGGTAGGCTGAAATTCCACACTATTCTGAGTGGATCATTTCTACAGGCGATGGCACTTCTCTAGCACAACTTTAGAGACTGCTATTAACTACACTACTTTAAGAGTACAAGTGATGCAAAACAGTTCTGCATGTTCATATTGTTTTCTCAAATGACAGAATACAGTTTTTGTTATTGTGTGGTTCACTTGTTTTCCTTATTTGTATTCAATTTTAATTATGAAATCATTGTATCAACAGAAGAAGAAATTCTGCTAAGATACTATCTATTTTAAGATTACAGATATAGGTCATCTGACAGTAATGGACAAAACTGAAGACTTCTCAAGTTATAGGCAACCTCACATGCCCTTTCAGGAACCAGCTGCTATTAGAGATAGCACATGTACTTTCCAATTCATCTCTAGTGTTGGTTTTTGTTTGTCTTTTGAGACTTTTGGTGACTTTGCTTATGTGAAATGGAAGAAAAAAGATAGGTAAGTTTTAGCAGTTCATTTTGTATTGCTATTAGTACAGATATATTTCTTTAAACAACTGTCTTTATCAAAACACCCATGCTCCAAAACTATGCAGATAGAATGCAAGACTGATATAACTGGTTATGTATGAACAAAAATTAACTTTATGGCAAGTATAAGAATACTTACACCTGTGGTCCCAATGTTACTGTCCTCACCATCACAATAACCAGGATGACAATGGTTAAAATCAGAGAAATAAGAGATACCTGTAAAACAGACAACACACAACTTCAGTCAGTAAGCTGCTGAAAGGTTCTCCTCTTAGCAGCCCAATTTATTTTTGAAAAAAGAATTGGTAAACAACTATATTTCTAAATATCATGTCAAATATTTATAATTATGAGGCTTGTCCTATACCATCACCTTTTTATTTGTTATTCTTGTTGAATAACTAGCCAATTGCAACTATTTGTCTAACTGTAAGAGATGGTTTCCATTTAAACATCTGTAATCAATGGTGCTCAGCATTTCAAGATCAGGCCTACATCACTCACTGCTTAAAAAAAAAAAAAAGATTTCTACTAACAGTAGATGGAAAAAATCTAGTGATTCATGTAGGAACCAAAGTTTTGCTTAAACTATTCGAAGTTCTCTGATATTTCTTGGGACAGAAGACAGTCTGAAATTGTAAAATATTTAATATGCTCTAGAGCTGGATGGAATTCAAATACATTAGGTCATGACTGGCACTTGTTTTCTAATGGCACAGAGAAAAGTGAACTAAATCAGCTGCTATTATGATTTACCTTTCCCAATTTTGCTATGTCACGATATAAAGATAAAGGCAAGGTAAAGATGATGGTGGTAAGAAGAATTATGAAGTGACGATCTGTAAGTATATTATCCGGACCAACTAAAATAAAAAGAGAAAGAAAATTATTCCACTAAGAGACTGATATAAGGAATAGATTAGTTGCATTCAAAGGACTAGCAATAACAAACTTTAATGTTGACCAAGCTTTTATCTCCTTTATTCAAAATAAGAAAGTGAAATGAAGACTAGGCATTAACGAACATAGGGGAAGCCATACACAGCACGCACATAATCACCAGAATTCTGCGATTTTAACCTACAATGCATAACACGAGTGATATATCAAACTTTGGAAGTACGACATTTGAACATATAGATGAACATGAATTTCTTTCATCATGCCTGGGTCAATGTTGCCAGACTGCAAGTCTAATGAAAGAAACATCTAATGCTTCTTTCTGCTATTTACTGCTGAGGATTTTTTGACAGCGTTGAGATAGTCACTGTTCTGTTGAAGATACAGAGATTCTTAAAGAATGATCCTAAAGTTCAATCTGAGTGGTTCATTTGAGCACCTCTTTTCTTGTTGTCACCTGCCCTCCAATTGAAAATTACAGATTACTACATGAAGGCAACAACATCATAACAACCTCTGCAATCAATTGAATTATTCTGCATAACTGGTGTTTTTTTTCCAAGCCTACTTAACATGAAATATCTCACTTTTAGTCAAATTAGAATGAATGATGTATCAAATTCTAGACAAATTAGAATGAATCAGCTTGCTGAATGATTTTGGCTGGAAAGGGAGTGGCAGTTGATATGAAAAGATAGTGTACAGTTCCTTTATCCTTTGGAACATCATAATGCCTTTCCTCCAGTCTTCCCAGGCAGGTGAAAAGATGTGACATACTGTTGATTCCTCCCATTAAAGAAGTCATATGATTATTAGATATTATTAGGTATTCACTTTCACTATCAACCTGAACAGAGTGTGAGAATTCAAACTGAATTCCACATGTTGCAGGTTTCGCCATCTGAAAATAATAATCTCACCTAAGGAAATCAAACAGTTCATAGAAAAACTAATTTCCAGTTCACTCCAGACATGCTCTTTTCAGTTTAATTTGCCAGAGAAAAGTGTTTAAGTTTAGCTGGCTTTGTGATGAAAAAGATGACAAACATGCACACCAATGGACTCCACTGATTATGCTGTGAAAATTTACAGCGGCAGAAGGGTAAGAAGCACCTGAATTAAGATCTTTAAAAGTTCTTACAGAATACTAGAAGTTATATATGCAGTTTATGACCAACTATATAGATATAGTTAAGTAAGAATTAAATCCGTTATATTATTTGCAAGTTATCCAGAATTGTTCACTGAAGTGCAGTTTTAGTATTCAAGTGTAGCACATTCAACAATATGACAAAATACAACCTTACAGTCATATCACTGTGAGACTTCTATGTGCTTAGTGCATTGATGCACTTAATCTTTACTGACAGAGTCCAACGACCTAAGGACTTATAGTCCTTAGGATTTACAGTTTTGAGTTTCTTTTTTGTTTAAAAAGCACTCATACAAACATGATTTAAATTCTTAACTTAATATTTAAGAGTAATTCAGACCCAAAGTAATAGGTAGATATTACTTCAGTCTGACACCGTATAAGCCCCAAAGACGCTACATTTGTACCTAATAATTCTTTCCCATTCTGAAATTTTTAAATGCATCTTACCTCCAGGAATTCTCAAAAAAACTTTAGTTAAAGTGTCTCCTGTTATTATGTTGTAACTAATCATAGCTTAAAGAAAATAAAAAATTGTTAGTACAAATAAAATAGAGAACATTTGATAAATATTTAAATACATGTAGTACAATACTCTGTAGACCTTAGGATTATGCTACTATCACTCTTGTATGAATTCTAGCTAGCACCTAACAACTTTTAAGATTCAGGCTTAAAACGAATGTTTTAACAGTCTCCTTTATTTATTTTTAAAATATACTGCCTGAGAAAGAATCCAATCTGACAAGCAAGGCCACTGTGCTGTTTTCCCATATAAACTTAATTCAGAAGGGACTAAAAAAGGATTTTAGAATTGCCTTGTTCATTTCCAACTTCAGTTTTTGGTCAGTTTATCTCCAAATTCCTGTTTCAATTAAGTTATGTTCCTGTGTTAATAGAATCAGTCCTGGAATCAAATGCACAGGACTTCCTAGCTCATGTAAAAGTTTGAAATCTTTCCACCAGAAGAAAGGAGAAAAGATGAAGATAGCAAATAGGGACTTCCATTCCTTCCTCTCATTAATAAGAGCTGTGACTTTAATACTCATATTTCATTTGTATCTTATTTTACACTGGAAGTACCTGTGCTACATAAGGAAACAAATTCAAGCACATACATTTGCATAACTAGTTCCAAGGTAGAAATTGAGAACTTTACAATTCTTTTTTACGTTCTCTATGAAATAATAATCACACTCTCTTAAGTCAACACTAATGGATCAATATATTCATAGGTAATTCACACTTTCAGTTCATGGGATGAAGCTTGATGAAGTAATTCATAGGAAGGCGCAATGCTGTTGCCCACAGTAACACTAACCTGACTTGCTGAAAAATCTTGTCTACCTAAAATGACATTAAAATGACTTCCGATTGACTAATCCCAAAGGGAAAATTTTGCTCCGGGACTCTGCAGGCACCAAATCCAGTCTCTTGGTGTCTATAATCCTTACCTCCTGTAGTCCTGTATGAAACGGTGCATATCAGATTCCTCATTCTAGAAGAGTCTCCCCTCTTTTTATTTCTCATAGCTACTTTTGTCGTTAACTTTTAACTGTGTGATCCCAGATTTCTGTGTTGTTACATTTCACTTAATTTCTATTATTCTGGTCCTAAGATTCATTGAATTCTTTCCATTATTCACTACTCAACAACTATTTATTTAAGGAAAGAGGCATATACAGTATATTCTTTACAGAGTTCTTAATATTTAAGAAGTGAAAGAATAAGGTAACATGGAAAGTCTTATTATTTATAAAACATTAAAATGTATATTTTATGTGATCTTACCAATAAATGGATATAAAAATTGAAGAGTTGAAAGAATTAGATAACCTATAAAACCGTATGTTTTTCTGACCAGCTCTTGATAGCTGTTGGTACTAGAGAGATTTCCTCCTTTGATCAGTAATATAATGGAATAATCTGTTAAAAAAATAAAATTGTTAAAGACAGCACGAACCATCTAGCAGGTACTGTTCTTTTCTACTCCTTAAAAAAAAGTCTGTAAGGGAAAACAACAGCATTGGGAAGAACAGTGAGGAAAAATCTTTTCAGAAAGAATTTAAATCCACCAAGATCTGGAGCTGTAGGCTCATATGGTAAGGGAATTCTGCTTTTCCCACTAAGGGAAAGCAGAAACAGCCTCATTTTAATTAGTATCCAGTGTAGTTCAATGGAAAACTGTTAAAAGCACCAAAAACCAGAAAATTAAATTAACACAGAGGTATATAAACTAAATATAATGTTTGGGTATATCCTCTTAGTGGCTAAAACATGAAGAATGTCAGTGTCAATTTATCTTGAAAACCACAGATAGAACCATTCTCTTCTATGAAGCAATCTGCCTTGAGACAGAGCTGATGTCACAGATGGAATTACTCTGAGACAGTATCTCAACCTTTTATGAAGAATAGTATAAAATGCTGCTGTTATTTGAAACTATGCTTTAGTGATCATTTGAGCACCATGGGATTTTCCAGTCTGGATTAGTTATAGCGCAGAATTTATTACCTTAGAGTAGATGTCTTGACAGACAGTAGCTAGACCTCGTCTATTCCTCATCTGGCTTTCACTTAGCTTGTAATCTATGCTGCGATAGGAACAGTTCCTTTCTGTGAACAGTATCAGTGTTTATTATCTTCTAGGAATGACTAAAATTATGAAACTTTCAGACTTTACAATTTATTTTTGAAGGTAAATCAATGAATTTTTGATGAATGATATTAAAATATTCAAAATCATAGAACACCCAGAGATTTTAATTCTGTGGTACATTTGAGTAATACAATCCACTCAAGGTTCAGTGTCTTAGATGAAAAACAGCAGACTAAAATAGGTGATTATGAGACACAAATAAGAGCTATTCTTCCAAATGTCACCATGACCTAGTCGAAGAAACTAGGCTTCACCAAATAAAAGGCACACAAAAAGCAGCTTTATATGTTGTACAGTATAATTCTCTACTTTTACTAATCTGCTCAGGGGATTAGTGAGGTGAGAAAAAAATTCCTCATTTTTATTAAGTCACAAACATGATTAAGTTATCATGAAGCTCAAAATCATCTAAACTTTGCAAGACTGATTTTCACTTTACAACAAACTGCTTTTACAGTACCTGTGATATAGGCAACTCCAAACAGAAGCAGTACACCTAAGGGAAAACCAGCTTCTTTCATTGAATACGGCAACCCTGTAAGCAAGAAAGCATTTTTGAACATTTACAAATATTTATTTGTGATGACCAAAATAATGAAATATTCAGATTAAAATAAATTCTTTCAATCTTCCAAATTGGACCATCATGCTTAATCAATGTGATTATTTTTAGTAGACCAAGGGCTGCTTAGCCACAAACCTGAGTCAGCACCTGCTCAAACAGTACTCCAGTCATTATGGCAGAAAAGGCTGAAGGGTACTTACTACAGTGAGACCTGATCTCAGATGACAACGCTGGATTTTCACATAATAAAAGAACAGACAAAAATCTTCAGCAACAGCATCAGAAAAATAAGAGGACAGCTTTTCTCAACACTGTAGTCATGCATGTATAAACAAGGATGAATAATGAAGAAAATACACTTACCTATAATGCCTGATCCTATAATGGAGTTGATAATGTTAAATCCAGCTGATGCCAGATTACTCTTTCCTCCTTTATTCCTCAGCTTACTAACCAGAGCTGTTTGGTCATCTGTTTCTATCTGTTTCAGAAAGACAATGATAGAATTAAATATGAGAACAAGGATTATACATTTAATATAGCTGATTCAGGAGAAAACAAACAAAAAAAAAAAGCTTTCATAGGTTCAGATTTGTAGAGGTATTTTGATAATTAAATCCTTTTTTTTTTTTCTTTTCTTTTTTTCCTTCCCCAGTGAGAAATCAAAGGAGTGTTAGGCATCTAATTCCTTTATAAGCCCGGCCGATAATCTTCTGTACTTAATTCTTCTCTGAAAAAAAATATAAATGGAAGAACAGAAATCTATATAAACTGAGAGGTAGGCTGTTAAAGAGCTTTTTAGTCATAATTAATATTTCTGCCTTTGGAACAAGCAGTTTTGAAAATAGTTTGGCTAATCTGACTGGTCAATAAAAACACGCCCCTAAGCTAAGGGGAACAAAATCAATTTCAAGTCACTAGTAATGTATGCCAACACCTGGTGATGTTCGAATTGGCTAACCTCACAAGGTTTCTATGGAAAAGTCTGGTACAAAGTAGAGTTTGAGGCACACATTTGTAGTTAGTGATTTCTCCCCTTCTGGCAGTAACCAATGGAAGGTGCCCAGAAATAGTATCTTGACCCAGCTTTCAACATTTTGTGTATCCTGGTCTTCCTGAGGCAGGCATGTCCTTGTTGTGTTACATTCCTCAATGGATTGCTCTTTCAGTTTGCCCTTTTTTTAAAATTGTAAATGTAAATGTAAATTTTTTTAGCAGTCCTGTGGCCACAAGCTCCATGTCTTAAGTATGCATCGTATGAAGAGACAGGTACTCTTCTTTGTTCTGAATTTGCCACTAAATATTTCCACTTGGTGCTACAAAAATATTTACATCATCACAGAAAGACCAACCATCACTTCCTAGTTATCCTCTCCATACCATAGCTAGTTTTACAGTTAACATCCTTCCCCTGCTCTTTCTGTTGCAGAATTATGAGTGGCCCATTTTAGTTCACTACTCATTCGTGCAGCAGGAGCATCACTGTTATTCTCTCATGAAACTTTAATACCTTCTGTACAGCACATGTGGAATTGTACTGAATAGAAGAGTCCAGTTCCCTCATTTCAGTCATTACTAGAAAACGCATACAACATGAATACAACATTTGCTGTACAGCTCATAGACTCCTTCATGAGTCTTGCCCCCACCAGACAGATGGGCTCTTGGTGGGGCTTCCGCAGGGACCAGCAGAAGGAGCAGTAGACACAGCACAGCTAGGGTCACACCCATGGCAATGGGCCACCAGGACACCAGGTGCTTGAGCTCTGGAGAGAAGCACAATTACAGCTGTGTCAAGAGGCCACGGTTCTGCTATCTTACATGAGTAAGACCCATCCGCTAGCTTTCTTTTTTTCTTAATTCCACTTCGTATTTAGGACTCATTTCTTCCTCACATGAGGTAGAGCAAAAATCAACCGAGGTGAGAAATCCACAGCCACTGTCAGTGCCCTCCAGGGAGGCATATAACGCTATAAAGCAGCCGCGGCGCCCCTCAGGCTCCCTACGACGAGGGGCTGCGGGAGACGAGAGGAGAACCGCCGCCTCCCCCCGCACCTCACCTCACCTCACCGTCCCCAGTGCCGCTGGGCTCACCTGCGGAGCAGCGGCCGCCGGCAGCTCCGGCCCGCCGCGCTCCATCGCCGGGGGGACGCGGTGCTTCCCTCACGGTGCCACCGAGCTGCTGCAGTTCGCCGCTGCTCCCTGAGCCCTCCCAGAGCCCGGAGAGTCAGAGGCGGGCGAGTCCTCCCGCTCCACCCGGGGCCGCGGGGCAGCCTGCGGGGGGGCGGCGCGGGCTCCCCTCAGGCGGCCGCCTCCCGCCACTTGGAGCGGCGCAGAGCCCCTCAGCCTGGGTCCTGCCCGCAGCCCCGGCGAGGGGGCTCTCCTTCAACTCCTCCTCAGTTTGAAACGCGGCCCAGAAAGTAAGCTCCTCTACCTTGAACTTAGGACACCCCAAGTTCACAATTTCTTACTTATTTTTTAACCCTGAATGCACATATAGAGCTTTCTGTGTAGGGTGCATAGGTGCATAGCTGAAAGCAGCTCCGCTGTCAAAGCTGTTTTTTTTTTTTTTTTTTTTTTTTTTTTTTTGTATGTAGTTTTCAACATAGGGGTTCTTTACTAGGTCCTGCTGCTGTATTCATTATTTTTTCTCCTCAGGTGAGGTAAGTTTCTTGAAAGAATGCTAAATCAGCAGAAGGAGGGTAAGCCAGGTACAGAATGTGCTGGGGTCACAGGCTGACCCCTAATTAAAAGAGGTAAAATTACAGGGCCGAAAACTCAGAATCTCTAATTACCTCACTTATTGTGAGTTGAGACCAGGCAGCCTCCAGCTGAAACATATTCTGTCAGCATTCAGGAAAAAAAAAAAAAAAAAAGACACACAAATGTGTATCTTAAGCAAAACCATATATGAAGTAGTAAACAACAGAAGTAATTACAGATATTCATGTGAAGAATTACTGGAGGCAAAATATAGCTTATGAGGGTCAAAAAAATAAATTTGTGAATTTAAGGCAATGACTGCAGGGCCCCATCAACAGAATTTGAATGCAAGATTTTAAACTATTAAATCATTAAGGTAAAAAACACTGAGAACAACTATAAAACATAGCAGCAGAAAACAGAGCATGCTAATTTGCTTTATACAGTCTTAAGAACACATATTTAATAATGTTTTGCTAGGGCAAGTTGCAGTGGTTAAAGGAGTGCATCTGCTGTGCATCAGTCATTTTGTCCTTAAAGGTTCTATGATGCATGTGATTTAATGTGAAAAACAAAATGAACATAAAGAACGTATATGACATTTTTGTTCAATAGCTTAAGCACATTAGCTTCAGTTCCTTCAAAAGAAATCTCTAATCAACTCCATGACAAGTTACAATCTGACATGTATTCTTGTGTGACCAGTCAGATGACATGACTCAGCAGAGAAAATTTTGGAGGCCTAAGGTACAAAGAAAGTTCCTGTGATTTAGTAGCAATGCTTTTTTTTTTTTTTTTTTCCTCCCTTGGTTTCTACAAAGAATGCTGTGTTTAAACAAGGAACGAAGCTGATGCTGTTTTAAGGCAGAGTGTAAAGCTGATGTTGTTTTAAGGCAGAGTGTAATAAAGCCTTATAAATATGGTAAAGTATGGTAGGTTTTTATGATGCTGTTCAGACAGATTCTGTATGTTTGTTAAGTAATGTAGCAACTTCCATACAAAGCCTTTTTATCCAACACCCACATGCTGTACAATAGTCCTTCTGAGTTCTGTGATTTTATTTTAATTCCAGTTTGGAGTATGCATTTATTACCTCAGAAAATAACTTCTGTTTTGTGCAAATGCTTTCTCCTGTTTTTCCCTGTTGTTAATCAGATACATTCCTCAGGCATTTATTTGGTGCCAATTAAGTCAAGCTCCTACCACACAGCTCTTAATGTGTGAGGGGACCAGTGCCCAAGTGTGACACCCACTTAATTAAGAGTCTCAGAGTTTCAGTTATATCAGTCATATTGGCATGATTTAGAGAAACATTTGTAAACTTACAAGCTTTCATTCAGCATATTAGCGAAAGGAATTGTTTTTTCCCCAGTAATGGTGTAGAGGGTTTTTTTTCTGCACTATGAGACTAGTCTCTGGTCACTTGGATTGCTCTGTGCTTTGGGATGTGGTTATTGTATTAAAAGCTTAATACTAGCTTTTCTCTTCACAATGAGAGTAATAGTTCACTGTGAAAAATTACCGGATTCACCAGAAGTCCATAATCCAATGTTTGCATTATGTTCTTTAGGACCTTGCTGCAGGACAGCAATTGTTTGCACAATTGTTTACCCCTGTGGTTGTGGAGGGCCGTGCTATGAAGGATGCCAGCATAGATAAACCATAGGGGAAGGACAGTTATCTAAAAAAGAAGGCATCTTCCAAGCAGGAGCACACAAGGAAGTTGTGTCCAAAGGGATGGGATCATACACCTTCAAGACAAATGTGAAAACGCATAAAGGTGGGCTAAAAATGAGACAGAGGAGCAACCAGCAAAAAGGAATATTAATTACGCTAATGTTTATAAGCAGAAATCCTGCAAGAGAATCCTTAAGACCCACATAGAATTAAGGTTTGGGATGGGGAGAGAGAGGGGAGAAAGAACAATTGTGATAAAGCCAGAACAGGAAAAGGATTTTTTTATTTTTTATTTTTCCCCTGGGGAGTATTTTTGGGAAGATTTCCATGGCAGAGCTCTTTCCATATGGAAGACAAGGCAGAGAATATGCCTCAAACTGAATTATCATAGAGTGAATGGAAAAGACAAGCAATAATGATTTGAAATGATGAAATGTAGTCATCTTGGAATCCTAAATTTATTTGTACCCTAGGGACAGCAAGTGGTGAGCTTCTGCTTAATAAGAGTTGTGCTCAGTGGTATTGGAAAATGGCCAAGGTGGCTGCCTAAAAAGACTCCAGGAATGATGCAGGAAACTACATACCAGTATGCCTGACATCTCCACTGGGCAAAGTAGTAGAAACAGTAATCAATGATAGATGCGATGCCATTGAGCTGTGTTGGCAGAGCTTTGTGGAGAAGCCTGAATTGTTACAGCTTTTGCTTTAGTAATATTACTGCTTGAGGTATCAATTTTTAAATGCCAATAAAAATAGTCATTCATAAACATTAAATGTGTTAAAGCAAGAAAGGCATTAATAAACAGAGAAAACTCGGTACTCTAAGTTGTTTGTGTACTCCAAGGATGTGCTGTAGATCATCTGAAAATAGAGAGAATGTAAGAAAGAAAATTCAGACACAAAGCTGGCATAGAAAAAGAAAAGCCATGTGATGAGAATTGACAAACACAACAGGAAATGAAATTTCTCTTTCATCTCTTGCTTTAAATGAATGACTAAATTAAAAGTAAAAGCTTTTTTTTTTTTTTTTTTTTTTTTTTTTTTTTGTAGAGGGTGATTGTTATAATCACATGACACTTTAACGTCAAACTCATTTATCCTTCCTGAAAAGGCTGGTGACCTTTTACTTTTTAGTAGCCTCATTGTCCATGAGGCAAGCATATTTAAAAAAGAGCTACTGTTCTTAACACTAAGTTAATTTAGATACCTAATTGCGTGCTACTACAAGTGGTTATGGACCACTGTTAAAAAAGATTTTGCTGAGAAATGAGCCTTTGTAATGTGTCCAAGAAAGATGGAATGAAAATTGTTCCTCTTAATGAGACACCCCTACCAGGAGGCTCAGGACTAACAGGGAACATGACCTCCTCATCTTCCAGATATAAGCAGACTGCTTGTTTTGCCTGGTTGACTAGCTTAAACACTGAGCACCTGGTCTCCTGGAGCATTAGCAGTTTAAAGTGTTAGAGCAAGTACTTAAAAGAATTATTGTTTGAGGAAAACATTTATGTGCCCTCTTAAAAGTTCTAACTTGGCCCTCATACTTGACCTGTAGTGTTTGTGAAGTTAGGGGACAAACATCTGAGCTGGAATCTGCCTGTAAAGCTTTTCTTTTCCTTGAATTATAGCTTCTGTAATCAATCTGTTTTGGAGATATATAGCAAAGCCCCTAAAACAGAGGTCTTGTGTAGGTAGTGTTGGTAATGTTTGGTTAATGGTTCTCATTGTTGATATTAGGTCTTCAGACTTCTCTGATAATAAAAATTTTCTATGTGAGGTATAGCACGACCTGCACTGTCAAACCAAGTGTATGGAGGGGGAAAACATCTCAAGAGCTACAATAGGATCTGCTTTACTTGTTAGCAGTGGCAAAATACTGTTCATTTAATTTAAATGACATACAAGTTTTACATACTATGTCATGTGGTAAGTTTGAAAGGGAAACTCACCATTTCTTTCCATCTCGTTAAAGTAATAATAAGTCATAGTCACAGTAATAGCAAAGACAAAGTCATAGCATAATAAAGTCATAGCTGGGAAAAGTAGGGACAGAGATGTGTGCTGGCATATATTTTTGTTAGCTTAATTCCTTTAGTTCTCTTTCTGAACTGCAGTAGAGGCTGTTGGTATGCAAGTGCTGGTATTCTGCTGGATGTTTTTGCTTTGCTGGCAACATGAAGTGAAGTACGACGCTGCAGCCTTTACTATTGTATTCCTCCAGTGCCTTAACAGATCCTGTGCAAAAATAGAATCTGTTGCTTTGATCAGCATTTACTTGCTTTTATTTTCAAAGGGCTGAAATTGGTGTTATTGTATTAATTTCTTTTACTAGCTTTGGCCCCATCTTTCTGTGCCTTGATTCTTAATGTCTTCAAAACAAATACTAGTGACTACACAACTCCCTTGCATTTCAGTGACTATCTCGTTTGTGTTTTCTGAAGTGAATTGTAAACTGAACGTATACTTGCAGTAGCTTAAACTGATGCCTTCAATATGATGAACCATGGTCTCATTTGGAAAACTAAGGTCACTGTAGTCAGTGTTTTTCTTCTAGAAGAAGAGAGAAGACAATGTACTTTGAGTATAAGACCCATTTTTCTTATATGTTGACATATATCTCTCTTGCTTCCCTAATACACAATATTAATTATTTTCTAATATTTTTAGTTCCACTTTGCAGAAATTAGTGTTTTTCACTCATGTAGCTATATGCTCATCAAGCTCCTTTCTGAGCTGTGTCGTGATGTGCTCATCCAGCAGGCGTTAAGGAGAATTATGCTCCTTAGTACGTGATTACGCATCACCTCAGTCCTCCAAGCTTCTGCAAATTTCCGTTGAAAAGACTGTATTGTCAAGATAGAAAGGCTCTAATGTTAAATGTCAGCAGTTCGTAAACGACGTGCTTTGTCCTTCAGACACAAGGGGGCAATATTTGACTTCTTTTAGTTGTGTACTGCAAAGGGCTAACGAACCTCTCCAGGCTATCGACATGTGTAGCTTAGTGTAGGTGGTAGCTGGTAAGAGCTGAAATCAGTGTCAGGGTTCTCGCTTACTTCAGTTACTGCTTATATAGGATTATTTATTTATTTATTTATTTAATTTCTTTTTTTAGCAAGCACAAAGGCAATTGAAAACAAAAGGTGAAAAGAGCACCTGAACTTAGAATCAATTGGGGGTACTTTTAACATCTTCAAAAGGATTCGTCAAAGATGAAAATAAAATTAAAATAAGGTGATGCTGTTCCACTTCTCTTTTTTTTTTTTTTTTTTTTTTTTTTTTTTAAATAGCAAGTGGCATAAGTATATGACAAAAATGAGGTACAGTAAGCGTTAATTGTGTCAGGCATTAGTCAAACTCCTTTTGTTAGCTTGTTCATAACAATCTTAGTAACTTTGCATGCCTTACAGCTGTTCATCCATTTCTGAGTCGTAATCATTAGCAAGCTCATCTTTCTTTGTTTCTGTGCAGAGGGCGAGGAGATGGTAAACCTGATGAAGAAAGTTGGTGTTTGAGTTAAGCCAAGTAAGTATTTATTTACAGCATAAAACACTGCGAGAACAAGATACATTATAATTTATTTACAATGTATGAAGTTATTGAACATTTTAACTGTACTTTTGGAAACTGTTAACGCCGCGTAAGTTTTTGTTTGTTATTTTAAAATCTGTCTTATAGATAGAATATTAATGATGAAACCTTGGGCACGGTGAAGTCAACGGTGTAACTTCTAAATGGTTTGATATTGTATGAATATAGTGTAAGACATAATCAGTTACATTCACCAGTAAGATGTAAGGGATTTTTTCATTATGTTTCTTGTGTGTTTTGGTTACTTGTATATCTGATGGAATTGTTTGTATCTGTAAAGTCTCATAGTAAGTTCTACAGTAATGAAAGTTTGGAGGGGGTTAGTAAGTGAAAAAACTGTGCTTTGAAAGGGAGAACAGTTAGCTTTTGTTTTGCAGAAGGGCTAGCAAGGGGAAGGAGGAAAGAGGGAGAGAAGTAGAAATGGACTGTGGGAAGTGATGATTTTAAAATGGCAGGACAAAAATAGGTAGGAGGCAATTGGACTTGTCAAATGTTGTTTTGCTAATGACTTCCCTGCAATTTAGTTTCTCTTTTGATTGTGTTTGCAGCCTCTCAGATTTTTCTTTCAGAAGTATTTTCTGATTTGTCACTCAAAGTTTTATCTTGGTTAGGTGACTAAGTGCTTCCCAATCACTGTTCAATTTATAATCATATGTGATTGCATATTTTGACCCTAAATGAATACATTTCATTGTGAAAGGCAACAAAGAACTTTATGGCAACATTTCTTGATTTTATTTTAAAGTGGGGTTGAAGAGCTCCATGCAAATATGTTTTCCTTATTTTTTCAATATTATAAATAAGTAGAAGTAAAGAAAGAGGAAGAGTCTGAGCAGAAAGTAAGAAAAAAATCTAGCAAATTTCCAGTGTGTTGTTAATATGTTGATTTTAACTTCAGTGAAATATTACATTCTTTCTAAGGAATCTATGCTACATAATCCAAGGCATTTGGTAGACGTAGAGCAGTGTTTTGTCAAACATACTCCTACTGCTGTGTATGGGCACCATATACTGGAATGCAGAAATTTTCCATTAGCAGTAGGATGTGGATGCACCTTACAAATCTCTCCGCATAAAAGACAGATGGTACCAGTGACATCTTAGTGCTGTCTCCTGCTTCAAAATAGACTTGCTGTCAATTAATTCAGACTAGGAGTGAATTAAATTTAGTTGTTCGAGGTTTTTGTTGTTGTTGTTGTTAGTTAATATTTAGTGTTTTTAACATTTACAACTTTCTGATTTGTTAATATTTTACAGAATGAATCCTGACCCATGACGGGCTCCTAGACATTGGGGTAGTATGATGAATTAGATCAAATCAAACAGTTGTGTTTAGCATTCCACTTAATTAGCCTTATGGATCAGAAGTAAAAATACATGGCAATATTTCCCAAAACTCTGAAAGAATTAGGAGGGAGACAGATTTATTTTCAGGAAGTTATTCCTGATTTCAGTATAATCTTCTTATATGATGTTGAACACAAAGTACGGTTTCTCTGTGCATGAATTCCCTATGTGCTAAAACGATGAAAATAATATTTTCCATCATACAGAACCATTGTGAAGTAAGTTCTATTAATGTTTTCCCTTAGATATTAATGTGATGGATACTATAGAGATTACTATGGGAAAACAAAAACAATCTGTCAGCTTTAGTTGGATTTGGAAAAAAAAGAAGTCTATTTTAAGAAAGAAATTACAGAACAAATTCCCTTACAGCAGTCAGCTGAATTTATTTCACTTTTGATCCATTTGTAGAGTGACTTATGTAGGAAGAAATCTGAGAGAAGTTAAAGTTGCTAATGTGGAGCCTGCATGAAGTTGCTAAAAAGGAAAGCTATGTAGGAAGAGACTATAATTTTCATTCCTATCTTGGGACTTGGATTAATGCCCAGAATAGTGACAAATACAACGTCACTAGGAAAGACTAAGAATCATCTCCATCGGTAATAACAGCTAACTAGAGCAAAAGATAACTATAAAATTATAACAAAGTATTTGCTAACAAAAGCAATCTTTTTTATTTATTTATTTATTTTCCCTGTCTTCAGTACAGATAACTGGAAAGAGAGACTTTTTAACACTCAAAGTAGTAATTCCAATGAAGGGTGTGAAAGGAAATGTTGATAACAGTGCATCCATGTACACTGTGTGACTGTATGTATGATATAGAATTATAGAATTCTATATTAACTCTATATTAATTCTATATATATTATAATATATATTCTATATTCAATTAACGTTGGAACAGACCTTCAAGATCATCTGGTCCAACCATCACCCTACTGCCAATGTCACCCACTAAACCATGTCCCTAAGCACAAGGGCCAACTTTTCCTTGAACACCCCCAAGGATAGTGATACCACCCTGGGCAACCCATTACTTCTAGTGTATGTATCTATGTTCAGTAGGCAAATTCAGCAGAAGGCATTACAAAATATCTCCCTTTCAAGTCCAAAACCGTACTTTCTGTAGGTGAATTATTAAGAGAAGCACATTTTTGAAGAGCTTGGCATACAAGATGCATAATTTATCCGAGAACATCTTTTTGATAGAAGTGGGTGCAGCATATAGTATGATAGTTGCATTTGTCCCCTCTCTATCTTTCAATCTTCTTTGTGTAAAAAAAAAAAAAATTTCATCCACTCTGGCTTAAACATTCAGTACTTTCCTGCATGTTTTAGTCCAATACAGCTATGATTTACCTTCAGAAGCGTGTGACTTTAGCCTGTCATTCTCAAGAAACCCTCCCCTACCTGCTCCCACATTTCTGTCTTCCTTCCTCTGAAAGAACTGAGAGCTTACAGTCAGCTACAAATCTGGTGAAAAATACTCATTTTTCTATATCAAGGTAAAAGGAAATGTGTTTATACCACATAAGCAACAGGCTACCTCATAGTGGAACAGAAAAACTCCTTGTGCTAAGTTGATAATATGCTTGGATAGAGGGGCTAATGGACTTTTTCTGACTGTCTTTATAGCCTGATGAAACAGTAGTAGTCCCAGTAGTTCTTACCTCCTTTATTCAAAATTTGAAGAATTCTTTCTCTCTGTTTTGGGGTTAAACTATTTGTAAGATGCAGTGGCTGTGACTGTCTTTTGGAAGGCTTAAGAAAGTGAGACTCTGGTGAAAGACTGATGAAAAGTGGGCCAAATGGTGGGAAGTGGTCATATTTTGTAATGAGTGTAAGAGATTTTTTTAAAGGCTTTTTGAACACCATTTATTTGAAGCCAGTTCATGCTTAGTATAACAAATGGCAGTCTTTTAACAACCATTGATTAATTTTGTGAAAGTATGCTAATAACAAACATATATAAAGTTGGATACATTATCTTTTCAAGCAGTTGCATATCCTGCACCTGACTTTTTTATAGTGATACAAAATTTCATAGTGACTAATAAATCAATTTAATTTGCTATAAAGGTTTTCACAATCTTCTATTTGGGGTCCTCCCTAATGTGGGCTTGGAGAGAGATTTGAGCAAAATATTTTAAATACAAAACTTTAACACAGAAAGAAGCATTTATTTTTAAGGAATAGCGTGTATTATGTGATCAAATATTTTAGACAATTCACTTATTTGCCGTGATTTTACAGATAAAGACGTGGTATTATTTAAGGAAAACCATATATGTATGTATACATATACTTCAGGAATCATCTGCGTATTAAAATCAGTGCTTTATAGGTACCTAGCTTATACTAACTGGCAGAGAGATCTACTGGGCTGAACGACTGTGGTAACTCAAACTAGTGATATTGCTGGGGAAGTAAAGAAATATTTTAAATATTAACTGGTATGAAATATCTTGTTTAAGCTTCTTGTTGACACACATTATTTAACAACAATAACAAGAGTCTGTGTGCAAGCAGAAGTAGGAACATGATGTTACAGCTGAGCAAAATACAGTTCTCTATATTGTGTGTGGTTGCCAAGGATATAAACTTATCAGTGATATTTCATTTTAGGAGTTCAGAGACTGAATAATAGCTCTGTGACTGACTATTAATGATATGGAGTGGAAAAAGAAACTCTGTTGGGTAACAGAAGGTAGAATCATTTTACTATATGCAGCAATTAACATTACCTTGCACAAACAGTACAGCCTTGAAGTACGGTGGGTGGAGGTGCAGCTGGGTGGGAGGCAGAAAAGAGGACTGAGAGAATATGATTTATGTGTGAGAAACACAATCCTGGAAATAAATTTTAACATTAGAAGTTTAACACTAGAGATACTGGAGGCTGGACTTTGAGTTTTCAGCCATCCCCAGCTTTCAATTTTCGATTAATGGCAATGTTAGTGCCACAGCAACCGTTTGTGACATTGCAGAAAGGACTGCAGCTAGTTTCCATTGCCAGATATGCATATGGATTGCTACTGTTGTAGTTTTATCTACCGAATATGATCTTCCATCAATTTCTTTCTTTCTTTCCTTACTACTTATTTTCACTACTTTGCATAACTTATTCAAATAAATGTGCAATTTGTATAACTGAAAATTAGTTAAATGACCTTGGACAGACCTTCCAAATGTGTATTTCTTGACAGAGCAGTATTATTTTGTATAATACATGTATAATATTATTATACATGTTTTTAAATATTTTTAAGATACTGGTGTTACCTTAAAAATGATTATAACATTGCAAATGTCTGCATGGTGCAGGTAACATCCTGCAGGTTTCTAGTAGTTTGCCAGATTTGGTTCAGAAGTACACTAATGTGGACACAATCATCTTAGGCAGGATAAGCCTAGATCTGCTTAAACTAAGGAACACACATTGCTGTGAAGGAGTTGCATACCTTGATTCCTGTTACAGCCAAGAAATGGGACTACATGAGTTACGGTCGATTATTTCCATTAAAAAACAAACAAACAAAAAAACCTTATTTTTCATGATTATCCAATAGCAATTATTATTGAAC